CTTTCCGTAATTTAGTTATTTTATTCTGATGATGTTTTCTCGTTCACCCTGTATACGAAAATGATTGTTATGTTGCAGAAAATGCGTACCGTGGCCGTATGGACGGCACTCGTGTTGGCATACACGAGCGGCCCGTTCGTCGCCGCTATGTTATACATTGACCCGATCTCGGTGCAACCGGATAACGGCGGGGACATCGCAGAGAAGCGCGTCGACCTAATGGAACCGACATGCGAGGAATTGAGGACGATGTGGAGGTACACCAAAAGACAAAGCCGCGCGGCCAAGACCACCACCGGGTACTCGCTCTATCCTGACCCGTTCGTGTACAACATGTGGAAGACTTACTCCGAGCGATCCAAACCATCCCGCAACTACCGAGGTAAGATGATCTGAATACTTTAGAAGCTACCGGCTTGTCGCCGCACCATTGCGAAAGAATTTAAGCAATTTCATATGCGAGAGAGGATGTTTAAGATACATTTGAAATTTTTTAATGGAATTTCCTACAACTATGCACGTGTACATTTAAAAAGACGCAGATAGAGACTAAAATTATTTGTGCAAATCGTTATGTGCAAAATTTGAACTCGATAGCTCTGACAGTAAATAGTTTAAAAATCGGTGGGGAGATCTTGACATAGCAAACACCATGATCGAGTTAAATAAAATTGTGTAATAACAATTTAAACTAATTTCGTGGTTCACACTATATATTTAAAGGGACGTAAATAGAAACAAAAATTAGTTTATAACGACACCGTAGATTTTATGCATTTGCCGAAAGAGTTAAAGTGATATTTTATATAAATATCGTTAATTGTTAATTCAACACGATTCCTTTCTACTTATGATTAATAAACTGCGGATTTTTATCTAAATAAAATATTTATGGCAACTTAAAAAATGTGCTTTAAATAAAAGTTTCTTTTATCATTTAAATATTGCAATACACACTTCGCTTTTGATATTTCATACATTTTTATAAATTACATGCAGCGTTTACATATTTTTCACATTCATTTTTCTTGGAAATTCGTGAAATCCGCAATTTAATGATGAATATTAAATCTGCTTACAAGAACTGGAGAAATGAACTTATTTAAAGCCAGAGTAAGTGCATGACATAACAATTTCTACGAACGGAATGAAATTAAATTGTGAGGATTGAATGTAAAAGGTCCCTCCAACTTCAATGGGAGTTGAGTTCGCATCGTTCTTCTTTTTTAATGAGAACAGCCCGATGTGATTACGGTGGATAAAAGCAATTTAATTTGCAATAGTCGAATTAGTAAAAACAAGTTGGAAAAGTACAAACAGAAACTCCCTCTGTTTTTTTCCTCTTTGGCTTTTTAGGCTGAATTTACCGATACGTAAAACCATGTAGCGTATTTCATTTTCGCTTATTACTCGCCGTAAAACGTGAAGAATAAATACAGTTGGTCAACACAATTTTGTATCTACGTAACGCTCTCAGTGCTTTAATTAAACCGAACAAATATTAATGATATCGTATGTGTGTATCGACTGTGTAAAACGAGTATCACTTTCTCATCTGTATTTTAGCATTTAATTACGATGTATTCATTGTCTGCATTTACATTAAATACTTTACATTAAATAGTGAAGGAGGATACATTTCAATTTACTTAAGGCGAATTATTAAAAGTATAATTTCTATACTGGCTTTTCTACTAATCGTTTTCTTTACATTTTTTTATATCGTATATTTTTATATCATAGTTACTTCTATGAAATTCTATCTTTAAAAATGCAATTTCTGTATTTCTACCATAATTTCTTATTAATCTTTTCATCAGTAATCTAAATACATTATGTATTGACTATACAGTTAATCCCAAAAGTTTATGTATCTTAAGAACAATGATTTTGTATGAAAAAAGTTTACTTCTTAGCGTTCAATTGATTTCTAAACAATAAAAATTTCATACAAATCGGTGAAAGCATAAAAAAAGTTAGACGCATCGAACCATGTACAAAATTTTCAATTTATCTCAGTAGGTCGAAAGTTGTGAAAAACTGCAATTTCTTAAACTTCTAGTCGTTTGCGGCTTATAGCAACATTAACTGATTTTTATGAAACTTTGCTCAGTGTATTCCAGACTCGGTTCACATACATAGAGAGAACACACATAAGAATGTAACAAGACCTCCGTTTCCACCTTTATTGCTTTCCATGTGTCGCTGCTATTTGGACCTACGTATTTTCTGTGCATGCGTGCGAAATTGGTCCGGAAACCCTTCAGTCACCCGTGCATAGTGACAAGAGAGAAATAGACTACAGAAAGATCCAAGTCGAATAATTTTTAGCATTTCCTTTAAAATGATTTCACATTATCGTAGCCCGGGATATTCTTTGTAACCAACGTTTAAGTGCTGCAACAGCTTTTTGTATATTATTTTGTGGCCTTGAAGAATAGATGGTTTGTTAATATAAGTACATTAAAAATTGTATTTAATAAAAATGCATTGTTGAATTTAAGCATATTTGATTTAGGTAAATCTCGTTTGAAGTATTTCAATCGTTTCTGCAAACTCTGCCTCTTTATACAACAGTAAGATTTTTCCACGTAATTTCCGAAGCAAATATCCAATATTGCGATTCAGGCGAAATTCCTATGGGGATTCAAAGAGCTTTCTATTATGTTATAGATGCTATCCAATAATTGGATTACTTAGCGTACACCCGTTCGCCTGTTCTGGCGAACGTTCTCTCTCTCTCTCTCTCTCTAGCGTATCCTTTGTAAACAGGGATGAAGATTAATTAAACGAGCGTGGCGTGTACGATGATGAATTAACGGCACGTAAAAATGTTTGATCAGCGATCGGCCGTATATCAATCAATACGTACTCGGTGAAAAAGGTTTTGTTGCATTGTTTCCATCCTGCTATAAATAAAAATAATGCTACATCACTGAAACTCTATTACCTGTTGTTAATTATTACTTCAAATATGAAAGTTTGCTAACTTCGTTCAAAAGTTACTGCAATTTTAATTTACCATGCATTCTATGGAAGCTTAGTTTACCTTAGTTAAGGTAGCTTGCTATGAATAACGTATCAAGAGAGGGCCCTACAATGGGCTTATTTTAAAATAAGAATATGAAGTGAAAATTTCATTATTAAATGTATATTATCATTTCCACATTCATATATTTTAATAGTATATTATAAAAAAGTATGAACAAAGTAAAACAAACAACTTTTTATATACGACTGGGGCGATTATATACGATTTCATCTAATATTGTTAAACATAACATTAGTTTTCTGTCTGTAATCTACAACACACAGGAAAAGCACGGAATCGAGCGGGTGGTAGCGCCCCGATTTACGGGCGAATGGTGCACAAGGCTCCAGCGGGTAGCAGATTAAGAAACGGGATGAGGCACTCACTTCGCCCCTTCGACAAGATACCGTTTTATGGGACGATCAATTCTTATCCGCCGTCGTCAAGGCGCCGTCTAAACAACTTCCGGTCGATGGGCGGTGGTTCGCCACCCATGGCTCAGGTACCCCAGGCCGGCAGTTTTCAACACTTGAAGGAGTTACTTAAAGCTGAGCGCGCCCGGGAGCTACAGGTTAATAATAAAGTTAAATAACCCACTACGTGTCCCACAGTCTGGTTACGAACTTCGCCAGCGAGTTTTATAAGCAAAAAGTGGATCAAAATCTAGTGTGTAAATCAATTCGATACTTTTTTAATTAATTGTCGCCACAGGCCATTCATGTCTATTTCGTTTATCTATGGAACTTTTCAATTCCAAGAATTTCTTATCAGTTTTAACGAAGCAATTATTATTAGACTGGGAAACAGATATAGATTCCATAGAATATTTATTTCATTCAAATTCAGAGAAATTCACTCATTTCATCATCCCGGATCATCAAAAATATTACTCACGTATTATTCGTTTATCTATAGAACTCTAGAATTCGGAGAATTTTTTTACTAGTTTTAACGTAGCAATTATTAGTTTGCTGCATATGAAACAGGCACAGATTCTATATCATATCATTGAAATTCAAAATAATTCAGTCATTTCATCGTGCATCGAAAATAGAAAACCCTTATATGTATAAAGTGCTACACCTAGTATTCAATAGTACTTATGATAAATGGATGATGAGACAAAACGTGATATACGAGCTTCAACGTCAGGAACAAAACATTTCATATGCAGCAAGCTGATACAATGAATTTTCTATTGATAACCCAGATAGGAGTGTGCTATAATTCTTTAAATCAGCGATGTCCAACATCTCTTAGTCCGTGGGCCATTTTTTCTTTTACAACCATTTTGATGATCAAAGAACTATATGTATATAGATAATCCAGAAGTCAATTAATGTCATGTTAAAAATTAATTTATTTATACGAAGAAACTACATTAAAATACCATAAAAAAGAATGTAACAGAAATATATGCAAAATCTTAATCAGTGCTTTTAGGATGTAATTTTTGGGAAATGATTTCTTTTATATCCATATCAGTATTTGTTGTTGCGTGCTGAATTACATTTTTAACAGTAGAGTATTTAATGGAGTTTTTATATTTTGATTTGATATATTTCATATGAGAGAATGCACACTCGCAGATACATACCCGAATTAAACGATCAAACTGCACCAGTATGTATTTTGTATTATACGGTTATTAGCCATGCTTGCCTTGTGAACCTTAAGAATACAGATTTTATGCAAAATTTGATGCTCTATCCGAATTAGGAAAAAATATTAGACATTCCATTTAAAAAACTGAAGATGGCCCTAATATCTTAATAAAAAAATAAGGTAATACCAAACAGATTAGAAAAGAATATGGTGCAGTTTGATCGTTTGATCCGGAGATACCCTGTATATCTCTAAATAGAAATGATTTGAAGTTCAAATCTATTATTTTTGGATATTTTTATTGAATATTAAATTTTGATTATAAAAAATTGATTTGCTTCGCGGGTCACCAGTTAGAATGCGCTTAAACGTTAGATAAGAAATATATTTTTAGTTTCTGTTAGAGTTTATTAATTGGGAAATTTTAGGAGCAATATAAAACGGAGGACTACGCGGAGAAGACGCCATCGCCGTTCACCAACAACAACGATCCACTTAGCATGCAACAACACCGAAAGCAATTTCTTAAGCCGGCAATGCGAATCCCGTCGTCGAAAGCTAATTACGAATTTGGTCCGGGACGGTACGCGTCAAACGTGCCAAATACTGGGCAAGCTTGGTCGGTGAGTATCAACTCGTTTCACGCAATATTACTCTGTCTGAGGCTCAGAAAGTGTTAATTAAACATACAGTAAGTCCCATGTATTTTAGAATTGAATAACCTTTTTAATACTGCTGCAGCTTAATATTCTTCGGGGTGTTAGAAGACTTAGTTTACTATAATATACTACGTAATACAATAAAAAATAAAAAAGAATTGCTATTCGTATAAATCTCGAATAAAAAAAGTAGAGGACGTGTTTCTTACCTTTTTTTACTTAGACCTTTAATAAAAATTTGATATAAGGTTTAACTAAGCTCGCTCTTTTAACTACATGATTCTGTCTCGAAATTGAAATGTAAAATAGAAAATAATCTTCGAGGTCAATCATTCACATAAAAATCTTAAACTTCAATTAAAAAAGTCAAAAGAAATTGCAAATAAATTATTCATTAAATGTTAGTTAATAATACCTTTATCGATTCCTTAACGGGTTACAATTGCTAGGACCTCCGCTTCCTCCTCACGACATCGACTTAACGATTAAATGTCAATAGTCACTTGAAGGAAGTTTAATTAAAATTAAGCTTTCAGTTTCTCATTTGAGAAACTGCGTTCCTCAGTTCAATTTTTATAAAATCTACGGTGTAGAATCATCCTATGGTAGTCGCAACATATAATTTCTTAACACCCTGTACATGTTTCAATACACGTACGTAATAACTATGTTATAATAATCATTTTAATTTTTGATTTTGTCTTATTTTGGGTTCTAGAATTGCACTAAAATTTTTCCGATTACTAGCCAAACACCATATATATAAATGTACATACATATTCAAACAGTATTTTTAATCAAATGCTAAAACACTGTTTGAATTCGTAAACAGTAAACAACGGCAACACGATTGTACATAGATAGTTTTAGTTAGATGAAACCCTGTTTAGCAATTCTGATCGATCTGTTGCAGAGGACTGGGCCACAGCCTCGGGAATACTTGTTGCATTAGTAACACCGACGGCACGTCGACGTCTCCCTAACTAGAGGTCTAATACCACTACTACTACAACGTACATATCGCTTTCTATCGATACGTTATAGCAAAGAAATTCGGCATTTGCTTCAGCAATCAACTCCCTGGGCAACCATCTTCGACTCTTTGAAACCTTGCGTTCATAGCAACGAGTACGTATATGTATCGTCCCTTCGACGGCAAGGGTTCCGTTTTCGTTCGACGAACATCCTTCTGGCTTTCTCGCGAACAAAAATCACTTCTTCCCCTGACCATCGAATTAAGATCATAACAAACGTTCGACGCGTCTTGTAAAACCGAGGGAAGATTATTAATTAAGAAGATGCGCATACGTGACAATAATTTGTGCTTCCATATTCACTAATTATTAGACTGCGGATTTTTATGCGAAATGAACCATTTTCATTGTAAATGTAGAAAATGAAATCTAAATAGGAATTCCTTACGCATTTTAAAAATCATAATATGCATTTCACTTTTGATATTTTACGTGTCTTTGGATATTCAGGGAATCGTTTATATTGTTCTCTACATACCATTTCTCCATAAACGCATAAATCCGCGATCTATTGATTACACTGCTACTTTGTAGATATTGAATGACGCAACGTTTGGGAATCAGCGCACGAGTGCAGGCTTAAACAGATATTTACAATGTAAGCAGAGTGCTCCTAATTCGATGGAAATTGGAAATCCTACACACAAACATATATGCGTTAGCCGTGCAGGAGAGGAAGTCATTTAGGAGAACGAAAAACGAATAGGCGAAGAAGCGGCTCGAAACAGAATGTATATTTTCTTATTAAATTCGTTTAAAATTCTTGCACAGAAATTTAATTGCGCGGGTACGCTCACCCCGGCCTGTGTAGAATCTACCAGACGTGTATGTATGTATGTACAGAGCCAAGGAAATTTGAGGATTCTTTCGAGAAATCGTCAGGTTCTGATGATCTTAGCCTGTATCGATTTAATACTACTTTCCAACAAATGTGCGAAATGGCGACTTCAAACGTATATTTGTGTACGCGGAGAAAACACGAGCAATGTGATTTATATTTTATTGATTAGTTCATACGAATAATTTAATTTAGTAATATTTAGATCTGCTTCAGTTCGATGTTTTATAAGCAGAATGTATATTTTTTTTACAATTCACTTAAGACTCTCGCACTGAAATTTAATTAGGAGCTGCAGCTGAAATAAGTGACACATAGGTAGATAACAAATCTCTTAGGCTGATAATCGCTTCCATGATGAAAGAATAAAAATTGAATATCTTTCAAGTAAATTATGTACGTATTACGAAGCAATTTTTGTTAGATATGGAAGGAGCGAGCAACTGGAAAGTGAGAACTGAGAACTAAAGAGCGACTATACATACCAGCTTTCCGTTAGCTGCTTGCATTAACGTAGTAACATCATACATTAATAAATAAATTACATTATTATAAATAAATAAATAAATAAATAAATTCAGTGCGTAAAATTGACATATTGAAATATAAAAATTGACATATAAAAATACATTTTATACATAACAGTCATATAACGAAAACGAATTGCAATTTTAATAATAAAAATAGTCAATTGATGCGCTTTATGCTTTATAACTTTATACGCATCGGACGCCAATGCGAGCGGTTAACGTAAAGCATCTGCTACCTATCTATGTGCCATTCACGAAAAAGCGGATCGACTGCAGAGCCCTGCGTCCACCCCGACCTGTCTAAAATCTATCGGAAACGTACGTACACAGGGTGTTCGGGTACTGATAGGAGAAACTTTAATAATTCTAAAAGCCAAAATAAGGGAAAATCAATAATAAAAATTCGAGATTTCATTTTTTAGTTATTAGCGATTAAAAATTGCGCCTGATGGTAGGCAAACTTATTTACAGTCTATGGTTTTTAGAGGTAACGTGCGTCTAAAACTTTAAATGTTAATATACTTCGCAACGGTTACAATTGCATTGCGCACGTTGTATTTTGGAGACCATTGCTGGTTCCGAGGACCAGTGGTCCAAAAAGTACAAAGTGCCTAACATAATAATAATCACTATGAGGTATATCAGCATTTAGACTTTTAGACGCATCTCAGAAACTAGTAGCGACAAGGATAATTTTTAATCACTTATGACTGACGACTGGAGGTGCAAACGCAATTTTTTGCTGGTTGATTTTTGTTTTATTTTGGCTTCTAGAATCACCCCTTAAAGTTTTTCCCACCGGTCTATCTAGCTAGCCGAACATATGCAGGGCGAGGCAAGGAAATCTGAGGATTCCTTCGAAATATTGTTAGCTTTTAATGATTTCAGCCTGTATCGATTTAATGTGCAACAAATGTGCGAAATGGCGATTTCAATCGTATTTTTGCGTCGCTACGCGGAGAAAACACGAGCAATGCGATCTATATTTTATTAATTAGTTTACACTGAAGACCAACACTGAATCAACACAGTTTAAAACTGAATAACTTTTTTAGTAATGGAGCAACCGACCTACCTTTTGTTTAGTAATTAGCCGCATGAGGCCCATATTAGTGTAGGTTTATTAAGCAGTCATTGGGAGACATTAATGAAATCTCATGAGGAATATCCACAGACATATAAGAATAGACCGTGCTAGTGGTTGCCGAGTCTGTATGTGGAATTGATAGAAGAAAAAAAGAGAAAGATCATCTTATAGACCCCTTTGTGTCTTTGTCTAACCGCGTTTGCTCCGCCTACTTTTCTGTGTATAGTACGATGATGCTTGCTCGTGGACCTATACTACATGGAACTATAGTAGAAAGGTAGGCGGGGCAAACACGGTTAGACAAGACACAGAGGGGGCCTATAAGATTGCCTTTCTCTTTTTTTCTTCTATCACTTCTACGGACTGCTAGCGCGGTCTATTCTTATATGTCTACGGGACATTACCTCATAAAATGGAAATACCTCATAAAATCTGTAGTAGATTTCAGTTTGCTTTATTCATGAAAGACATAAGCCTGTTCTTGTATTAAAATTTTTCATTTATTATACATACTAGCTTCTTCCGGCGTGTCGCTTCTCACGCGCGCCGCCTGCAGCTAGGGTGTCCGGGGGGGTTGCCCTCGCTAAGGCGGACGGACACACATACAGACAAATGCCTTTTAGTAATAGTGGATTTAATCGTTGGTTTAAAATTTATGGGATGGTAACAAAAGTTGAAATAATTAACTGTTGAGAAATAATTCAGGAATGATTTATATTGTTTGCCGGATTTTTTCTGGCGTTTAGCTCGTCCACCGCCCCAGTCTCCACATTTCTTGAAATTTTCTTTATACATCATTTAATAGACTAATCCACCTAACTACAAAAGAAAACCTCCAATAATTCGGTCCGACTTTAAAAAAAAATTCAGTTTTAAAATGTGTTTGGTCAGATTTGCTCCTCACTGTATATAAATAATTTTTATTTAATTGAGTATTATTCATATTCGTTCGAATTCGACTTGTTAATGTGAATTCGACGAGACATGCCAAGCGATCGTGCTATCGTTTCCTCCGCATCAATTTAAACTTTGACAATAAAATAGAAAGACTAATATTTTGAAAATTTTGACAATATATATATATAGAACACACGCGTATATATATATACATATATATGTATACATTTAAGTTAAGACTATGAAGCATAATCGACGGAACTGTACCGAAGACAATAATTAATTCTTAAGCAAAATATTCTTGTAGTCTGTACGTGCAATCGATTTCCATTCTAATGATGTATAAAAAAATAATATTATATAAATATAAATGAATACATATATATATCTATATAATATTACAATAATTGATCAACGTGATTGATGCTTAGGAGAATTATATTAAACGAAATATATTAAGATGCCCTGATTCGTTTTCAAATTTCGTGCGTATCGATTACACGTACAATCGATTTCGACCCTTAAGCTCTCGAAAGATTTAAACACTGGATTTCAAATCTTTAGTAATATTCGCAACAAACTTACTTATTTGGAACGAATATTGTAAGTAGACTGTGGTCGTCTATACAACACGAAACGCTTGTGGTATGAATTTGAAAAATGTGATTTAGAAATTTTTTGTCATCATCCGAGCATCGGGATATTTATGCAGCTTTTGATATTTCATATATTTTAATACACCTCCTGCTTATTCAATTCTTCCATGAATGCATAAAATCCGTAGTCTAATTATAAGTAGACTGCAAATGTTTATGCATTTATGGAAATTTTAAATAATTGAATGAAATACAAA